TCTTAGAGATGCCTAATATCAACCCAAGTCTCTATAACATTTTTGTATTACAGAAAAATCAAGTACACTTACTGATATTTTTGTAAAGTATAAATTATATGAAAAATATTCATAAACAAACACCATTTAAGGAATCTTACTTCAGGGCTCAATACATCATGTTCAGGTGGTGCTTCTTTCTGCACAGATTGCGTGGATGTTGGGATGAAAGTCTGTGTTAAACTTTTGGGTGAATGAAATGCATTTATCTGGTGACTCAAAGAAACTGTAACCTGGTAAAGTACAAGGTATATTAAGTCACATATTATATAATTTGGTTGTTCTTCAATAACTGTAAAATCCCTATTTTTGCTTTAACAAGGTAAGCAGCTGTTGCTGTGTATTTCAAAACACCGTTTGGACACTGATTCGGTATCACAGAAATTTTCAGTAACAGAAAGATTGAAACCATAAAATCTCTACTTTAATTTTGCAAATATTTACAAACATTTTAGAAGCAATCAATTCATTACTGCAGAATATATTGTATAAGTTTCTCCCACTTAGCAAAACTAATTTTAATATTTTGATTTTGTGAAATAAATTATTCTTGTAACTGCTCCTACTTCAATTAGAAAACTGAAACTAGGAACATGCATAGCATTGTCGAAAATAATAATGTACTTAGCATGTTTACAAAACTATCTGAAAACAAACAAGTATGTATTGCCAGTATTTTATCTAATATGACCACATAACTGATAAAGGTAACAACAGCTACTGACACCAAATATTTCCAAACATTTAATATCCTCGCCTGATTGTTTTTAGGGATGTGAACATTTTTATTGTAAAAGATTTTCGAAACAGATTATTACATTAACAATAATTTTACTGAAAATGTTTACAATCTACAGCCTTGAAACTGACATTTAGGCCAGAATGATAAACTGTAAAGAATATGTGTTGGCCATAGTTTGTATTTCACCTATAGTAGGCGTGTCAAACACATGTTGCCACGACGGCATCATGTGATGTATCGGGACTTTTCCACTCCTTGCTAAACCACGCCTGGGCGTGGCTAGTGCGTGATGGGCCAGGAGTTTGACAGTCCTGACCTATAGTAACTACCAATCTATTAATGCACAATGTTACTCTTAGAAGACAAATAGTTGAATAATGTAAACACAAATGAAGAATATTGATTCTATTTATTTAATGCACAATATCCAGCCAGAGTTCAGACCCAGTTTATGGGACAGAAACAGATTAGTTGCACTTGATGATTTCTGGCAAGATTGGGATGGGGCCAGTATATCCATCCTTGACCTCTCAATGGCCTTCAATACTGACGACCATGGTATCATTTTGAGCCAGCTATGGAGTTTGGAACTGAGCAGTATTGTGCTGATTTGGCTCCTTTCTCCAAGGCGTCTCAATTGGTGTTGACAGGGAATGAGAAGTCCAGTCCACAGCTGTTCCTTTGTGTGTACCTCAGGATTCAGCGCTCTCTTCACTCCTTTTTAATATCTACATGAAGTCCCCGAGTGAGATCATCTGACTGCATGGAGTACCACCAGTATGCTGATGATATTCAACTACCTGTCCATCCCTGGTGGCCTAAATTGGATTTATTACATTTATATGCCGCCCTTTTCCCCTTTTAAATGTTACAGTCACTGCTCTCTTGCTGAGGCTGTGAGGCTTAGGTGGGGGACAACAGACTTTGGCTAAACCCTAGTAAGATGGGAGAGGCTTTTGGAGAGTGGAGTTTCAGGATTGGGACTGTTAACTTCTTTACTTTGGGATGGAGTTGTACTGCTTTAGACAGATCCAATATGCAATTTGGGGGTTCTCCTGGAATTGCAACTTCCAAGAGCAAGGTGGTAGCTGTGGCCAAGAGAGCTTGTCCAACCAATTGTGCCCTTTCCTGGATCAGAAATCCCTGCACTTAGTCACATAAACCCTGGTCATTTCATGTTAGACTACATCCAAATCCTATACATGGGTGTACTTTTGAAGAGTATTTGGAAGCTACTGCTGGTGCAGAAAGCAGTTATGTGAATCCTTTTGGGAGCTCTAAGGCGCCCATCTTATACTGATGTTGTGCAAGCTGCCCTGGTTGTTAATTTGCTTCTGAGTCCAATTCAAGGTGTTGGTTAGCAATATTAAAGGTCATGTTTGCAAGGACCAAGTTATCTGAGGAACCATCTCATCCTAATGGGATTGCCTTCCACCCATGCTGGCAGAAGAGGCATGCTATGGACCCTGTTGGTCAAGGAATTCCAGATGGCAGTTCCAAGAGAAGAGCTTTTTCTGCCAAGGCTTTTATCCTTATGAATATTGTGCCCTATCCCCAAAATGAGTTTGCATCCAACTCTTTGCCTTCTGAAAGAACCTGAAGGCTTCTCTACCACCTGGGCTGGGGTCTAATGGTTTAACAATGGTAAAGTCGAGGGAGGGTGGCATGTCATTCCGGATGTGGTTAATAGATAAAATGCCATCTCCTCCCTGTGTACATCTTGCTGTCTTCCTTCCCATCTTGTTAATATTAAATCAATTTAAGTGTTATTGTTTTAAGTTTTATCTTGTTTTTGATTGTAAAATGACATGAATGGCATGTTTACTAAATAAATAAACAATAGAGGTAAAGGGATTGTCTGTATTTTTTTGCAATTTCCATTAAATCTCATTTTCTCCTCAAGATTAAAGATAACATGCAACTTGTCACAGCTTTTGGCAGTATATTTTTATTTATTTGTATCCCACCTTTATTACTTTCACTAAGTAATTAAAGGTGGAAAATATATTGAACACACCTTTCTCCTATTGTCCCTACAATCACAATCCTGTGAGATGGGTTAGTCAGTGACTTTTGGCCTTAACTACCAAATTTGCTCTATTGTTTATGACCAACTGGCCAATAAAATAAACTTTTTAAAGACTAAAATATCAATCTTTTGCTATAATACAAAATCTCAATTTTTGAAAGGTTGATTCAGATTATCTTAGTTTGTATCTTTGTAACCTCACAATGCTTTAGTTCTATATAAAGCAAACTTCTCCAATTAAATAAGTCTACTGGGCTACAAATTCCACCCATAGTGATTTTGAGCAGGAATTATGAGTGGCGACTTAACTCAACTGGATACAAGGATCAGAAAAAAAATGTTTAATTATCATATTATTTTACAGGTCCTGTTTTGAATTAGACACTTTCTACGAACCTAATCCTGAAATTTACCCAAACTGCCCCCAGATCTCATTTGAACCTAAAATTAAGATCTTGATTTCAGTAAAGGGCAGCTTAATATAGTACTTTTAACATTTGGATAATGTGCTCAAAAACTCAAGTATTTGCTTTGGACCTTTGAGATTATGGCGAAAATGTTAAGCAAGAGCCTATAACATTAAGAAATAGAACATCTTATCCATCCGTTCTTCAATTCATCGCCACCCCAGTAAATTTGCAAATCAGGAGGCTCAGAACAAAAAATATGTCACAGTTAACTAACGGGAGTTATCTCCACAAAGCAATAGACAGCCAATTAATAGCCTTTTCAAAAGAAATTAATGAAATAAAGGATAATTAGAAAAGGCGTCGCCCTTCAAGAGGGGTATCCCTTCAAATTTCAGGGAAGGGACGACCGTCTTGCATGCTTTCCTCGGCTTCGACTAACATCCGTTGAAGGTAAAATCCAGCACATTTTCCAAAGGTTTTTTTTCCTTCCTCTCCCGCAGATTGTCTAATAAACTTCTTGGGCCAAGGAAGCCTCACCCTCCCGTCGTCCCCCTTTCGGAACCTCCCTCGCACAAAGGGGGATTCTGTTTCCCTTCCCGCCCCGGGCTCTCTAACTACGCAGAACAATAGCGGCTTCCAGATGCTCTTAGGGAGGCCTTCACCTGCGGCTGCACCGTGGTAGAAAAAGAAAGCATCCTTCTCGCCCCACTCAAGCGGCCTGACACGTCCGAGACCGAGGATGCCTCTTCCTCTGCGCTTCCTCCGGCCTCGGTCTTCGAGGGGAAGAGGATTCGGTGTTTTATCAACTCTTCCCGAAAATGGCCGCCTCTCACAGTTGGAACGGGGCGGGCTGAGCCCCGCCCAACAGCTGACGGTTGTCTCGAGTATTTCCGGGTGACCTCATGACCCCGCGTACGTCTCCTAGCAACCCTAGCGCTTCGGATGGGCCTGTGCTCGAATTTCTAAATGTAGGCGGTTGGCGGGTGTTTTTGTGTCTGACTCTGAAGCCTTTTGTAAAATGGTCGGAGGGGAAGCTAGTTTGAGTTAAAACATTTATTTAGTTAGTTTGTCACTCATGTACAAGATAACAGGAATAGGAATAAACATGAATAAGAACACTGAATTAGAAGGAAGCGTTCGTGAAATGGATGCGCTCTCTGTGGCGGAGGCCAACGAGACTGAAGCGAGCTTTGGTTTGGACCGAGGCGAAAAGCGGCTTCTTTCTCTTCCTTTCTGGCTTCCTCACAAACTTTCCCAGTGTGCCTGATAAGTTCCTCTTCTCGTCGGCATTGTTAAGTGCTGAATAAAATGATGTGGGGGCATTTAGTTTCCTATCCACCCGTGTGTAACAAAGAGAGTTTTATTTTCATCGATTATTTTAATTTGAAACCCGTTTAAATGTGTTTGCGGAGGAAGCAGTTTTTTCCGTCTTCGCTCCAAGCCTGTCCCCTCTGATGGTCGAACAGCATTCTGAATGGAATAGAGATGATCAAAGCCACCTTCAAGGGGTTGCTAGTACCGGACTGACTCTGGTCTCTTTCAGATCCATTCTTAAACCTCACTAGCTGACTTTGTGCCGCCGCAATCTCCAACCCTGGCAGGATTTCCGTGGGTTCTATGAAAATCTTGAATTCCTGAATTAAATTCTTGCACACTGATAAACCTAAAAATAAATTTGGGGAGCAGTACGTAACATCACGAGTAACGATACAGTTTGAAAAATCGCCTTGTTTTTAATATGTTTTTGGGGGGGGGGGGGGGGGGGAAGAGATAAAATGACAGCCAAAACAAACGTACCAGTTGCGTTAGTGTTTCCTGGATCATAGAGAAGCGTCGCCGAGAGCGGCAACCGAAAGCGGAAATGTAGATGATTAGTCCGCCCCCCGCCTCTCTTGTGCGTTGCTTTCGAGGCCAATACTTTTTACGTAGCTTCGGTTAACGTGCAAATGACGGAAGCAGGGGGTGGAGCTTGGTTTGAATTGTAGCGGGGCGAAGCAGCTGTTCGAGCTGGGCGCAGGAAGGCCCGGAGAAGAAGAGCAGGACTGTGGCAATTAGCGATCGTGATGGCGGAAACTTTTGTACCCCAAGACGATGTGAGAAGGGAGGAGGAGAAGGGCGCCTCATGCGGGAAGCGCATCGCCGTACCCCAGCCGCCCTCCATCGAGGACTTTACCATCGTTAAACCGATCAGCCGAGGCGCTTTCGGGAAAGTTTACCTGGGTCGCAAAGGCGGAAAACTCTACGCCGTTAAGGTGAGGCTCCCGTGGGTGGGGTTGCCTGGGAGCCTTCCCTCTTCTCAACAATTGTCGCGAAATACAGTTAAAAATGGTTAGCTTTCATTTTGATAGTGACAAAATAGGGAAATGGCAATAAAGCTGAATTAAAAGTTGCAAAGCATCTGGCGTGAGGGGACGATTTACAGATAGAAAAATGTATTCCAGGAATATGGATCCTTCATTTTTCTGGCATTGCTTCCTCCACCCACCCCCCTCTCTAGCTGCTGCCCATGTCTACTTACTTGTGCAGCATTGACAATCTTAAACAAGTTAGTCGTGGGAGACAAGTGGCAGTGGATAAAGAGTCAAATGTATTTTCTCTATGTAGCTTCTGTTTTGAAAAATTACAGTCATCTCATATTCCTTTATACATACATAATCCTTCCAATTTGCTTTTTAAAAATATCAAGTCCATTAAGCATTTAGATAGTTAGCAAACTTCATTATTAGAAAAGGTAGCCAGGAAATGAACCATGGTATAAATGCCTAATCATTCCATGTAATGGAGTATAATTATCTTTATAATTAAGTTTAATTCCTAATTTTTAAGGGTTGGAGTGAGGTATCTCAGATTTTGATTGAAAGTACACAAAAGATTTAAGATTTCCAGCATAAATTATCCTTCTGTGGTGGGTAAAATGAGGACCCAGATTATTGGGGGCAATATGCTGACTCTGTAAACTGCTTAGAGAGGGCTGTAAAGCACTATGAGTCTGTGCTATTGCTATAGTATAATTAATAACTAAATCATGTATTATTAAATTTTATTTGGGACTAAATGCATGGCGCATTCTGCAAAAACCCTTAATATGGAGGATTTATGAATTATAGGGATAAGAAAAAGTAATTTTTATAATGCATTTTTCTGCAGTGGAGAAGTATGATGCATATATCACTAAATGCACAATTGTTTTTACAGGTGGTGAAAAAGGCTGATCTGATCAATAAAAATATGGCCCATCAGGTACAGGCAGAAAGAGATGCCTTGGCTCTTAGTAAAAGTCCTTTCATAGTACACTTATTCTATTCACTTCAATCTGCCAACAATGTCTACTTGGTGAGTAATCTACATGGTAGTGTCTTAGAAAACCCTGTATCTTTTAAGTGTATAGTAGAACCCCTGGTCATGAAAGCATCTGACTAGGACCAAATTGGGTTCTGATTAAAAAAACCACATTTTTTCCCATAGCCGATCTCCCCTTCTGTGCCATTTTTTTGTAAGCGCAAAATTTCCAAAATTAGGTTTGAGTCAAGAACCAAATCAGGGTGTGATCATAGTTATGGAACAAATTATGGTCATGATTGGAGGTTCTACTATACCTAGTGTAGCTATTGTTTCAATCTATTGTTTATTTTTATAGTACTTTCCAGTGTCCTTACCATCTCTTGTTTGAATATCAACTTCAGTTAACAATCTTAAACCATTATTTCTGGAAATAATGGATAGCTTCTGGAAGCAAGTAGTTCTACTGATAAATTGTTCTCACTGTCAGAAAATTTCCTCTTAGTTCTAAATTGATCTCTCATTTATGGGTTTCCATCCATTACTTCTTGTCCTGCCCTCAAGTGCTTTTTGGAGAATAACACTCTTCTCTGTGATAGCCCCTAATTATTGAAAGACTGCTATCATATCGCACCTAGCCCTTTTCTTCGTTAGACAAGAGATACTTAGTTCCTGTAACCATTCAGTGTATGTTTTAGCATCCAATTCTCTAATCATTTTAGTTGCTCTTCTCTACATTCTTTCTGGATGTGGTCTTACCAAAGCAGTATAAAGCAATATTAACACTTCATTGACTTTGATTCTATCCCTCTGTCATGCAACCTAATACTGCATTATTTTTTTTGCTGGCTCATATTTAAGTGATTGTCCACTAGGACTCCTAGATTCCTCTCTATTGTTGTTGAACTATGTGCCACTTATTCCATACCTGTGCATTTGATTTTTCTTGCTTATGTGTAAAAGCTTACTTTTCTTGCCACTGAATTGCATTTTGTTGGATAGGACCAATGTTCAAGTCTGTCAAGATCCTTCTGTATCTTGAATCTATCTTTGAAAGGGCTGGCTATTTTCCCCAGTTTGAAGTCATCTGCAAATTTGATGAATTTCCCTTCTACCCCCCACAAATAATTTATGAAGATATTGAAGAGTATTGGTTCTAAGACAGAATTCCTCCATGTAGATTTAATTCCATTAAGGACTACACATTGAGCATGGTTAATTCATCCATTAGGAATCCATCTGATGGTGATACTGTCTATACCACATTTTTCTATCTTATTAATAAGTAGTTGTAGTCTACTCTGTCAAATGTCTTACTGAAACCCAAGTATACTATGTCCACAGTATTTCGCTGGTCCACTAATTTAGTCATTTTGTCAAAGAATGCAGTAACATGATCTGTTTTTGACATATCCATATTGACTTCCAGTAATAGCTTTGCTTGTTGCAGAATATAAATGAATATAAATCACCATAACCTGATGGATTACATCCCAGAGTTCTGAAGGAGCTAGCAGATGTTATCTCAGAACCATTGTACTTATCTTTAAAATATCTTAGAGCACTTGAGAACTACCAGAGGATTGAAAAAGAGCTGATGTGGTTCCTTTAAAAAAAAAAAAAAGCGGGGGGGTGGGACAGATCCAAGAAACTACAGACCTATCAGCCTAATGTTAATGCTTCAGAAGATGCTGCAAAAAATAATAAACAGATTTGTGCACAACTGGAAACAAAGTAAGTTATAACTCGTAACCAGTATGTGTTTGTTAAAAACAGATATGCCAAGCCAATCTTATTTCCTTCTTTGACAAAGTGATTAAATTAGTAGACCACAAAAATGCTGTGGAAATAGTATGTTTAGATTTCAGCAAGGCATTTGACAAAATAGAGCACAATCTACTTCTTGGTCATCTAGAAAAATGTGGAATAGACAGCATCACCACCAGATGGATTTGTAACTGGCTGACAAACTATACTCAATGAGTAGTCCTTAATGGTACTACATCTACATGGAGGGAGGTAAGCAGTGGGATACTACAAGGTTCTGTCTTAGGTCCAATACTCTTCAATATCTTCATAAATGACTTAGATGATGGAATACAACAAAAATTCATCAAATTTGCAGATGACACTAAGCTGGCAGGAATAACCAACACCCCAGAAGACAAGCTCAGAATTAATTCAGAAAGATTTTGACAGATTTGAACAATGGACCCTATACAACAACATGAAATTTAATGTGGAGAAAAGCAAGGTTTTACACCTGGACAGGAAAAACTAAAGATACAGTACATATTAGGCAAAACCTGGCTCAAAAACAGTAACTTTGAGAGGCACCTTGGAGTCCTAGTGGATGATCACTTAAACAAGTGTCAGCAGTATGCGGCAGCAGCCAAAAAAGCTAATAAAATCCTTGGTTGTATAAACAGGCATAGAATCAAAATCACGTGAAGTATTAGTACCACTTTATAAAGTAAGAACACATCTGGAATACTGCATCCAGTATTGGTCACCACATTACAAAAAAGATGTTGACTTTGGAAAAAGTGCAGAGAA